CTTTAGAATTGACACTTCCTCACCTGACTCATCTTGAACAGCCAGATAAGTGCTCTTAACTCTTTACTCATCTTTTTGTTAGAATGGGATAAAATTATTCAGGAATATCGACCAATGGGCAACCCTTGGCCCATTTTGTGAAGTAGTCAATGATTACAAGTATATATATATATATATATATACAGATACCAGTGATCTGTCTCTCAAAATGATCCAGTGATATCCAGGGCTATTCTCTGTAAAGAAGAACCAACAATTTTTTGCAGTATTTAAGCTTGTTTAAGCAGGCTTTTTCTCTGTGAATCACACATCATACAATGTTCACTCTAGTGGTGAACATCTTGACTAATGTGGCCAGAAGAATCATACCTCAAACATTAACAAAATTGCATGTTACATCTCGGTGCCCTCAAATCTGTGTTGTGAAAAGTCTGTAGAATCATACCTCAAAGCTTTAGGTACTACTAGTTGTAGCACAGGCTGAGAACTACTACTCAGTGATTGATAACAACTGAACAACACACTTTCCTGCACTAGTAACTGCTTGTATAAGTGGCATAGGATCTGTGTAGCCAGGCTACACTCATGCTGAGCCAGTTAAACTATATCCTGTTGCATGGCAAGGAGCATCCAGACTACATCTGGTCTTTCAGTTTCTCTTCATGAAGCTCCCAAAGCAATCATCTTAGCATCTATCCACTAGTAGAATCTCCTAATGTATGGTTTGTTGTCACTATGGCAGAAATAGTCCCATTTCCCACATGGTGCCCAGGACATTCAATTAATATACAGGGTCTATCTCTTTGGTGAGAAAATCTATTTGTGTTTGTGATAATTTATAACTGAATCATACTCATATTCCTGCAATGTTGTTACCCAGTATGCTATCATCCATTGTTTATTTTTTTAAGTTCATCAACCACTTCAACAACATGGTTGATCAACTTGAACAACAGTAAACTTTCTACCAAACAAGTGATGCCAAAAGTGTTTTATGAAGAACTCAATTGCAAGCAGTTCTTTCTTCATTGTACTGTATCTGTGTTCAGAAGCAATGAGTGCAAGATAAGTGTATGCAATTGCATGTTTTACTCCATCCACCAAATGCAATAACACTATTTCATTTCTACTATCACTGGCATTTTCACAATTTCATGGTGGATATGCTGGGCACAGGGGCTTTTACTAAAGCACACTTCAGGGATTGGAAGGCTTGCTCACTCCATCTGAAACGAGTCTTTGCCTTAGGAAGAACCAATAATGATGAGACAATCTAAGAGAAGTTCACTACAAACCATTGGTAATAGGATGTGAAAGTAATGAAATTTTGGATTTCTCACTTTGTCATAGCTAAAACAATGATTTTCTGAAAAAAAAAGCTTGATATTTATTTAAAAGATTTTAGGGATTATACAAATAATATTTGAAAATTTTCTGATGAAAGAAAAGTATTTTTAACCTTAGCATGAAAATCACTTTGTACTCAGAGCAGTCAACACTTTTGACTCCATATAATTCAGAAATTTTTTAGTAAAAAAACATAATTAAAGATTCTGATTTTTTGTCCACAAAAGACTTGTAATGTTTACTGATAGCTTGCCAAATTTTGTGAAAATACACTAAGTACTATCAGAATTATAGTATGTATACCTTCATGATCACAAAGTTGTATGAAATACATAAACCTGTTATGAGAGTGTTAGTGTTGACACAACACAGAACCCAAGGCACTATTCTTGCTGTATGCACTACCCACATGAATATAGTCTCTCCTTGGAATATCTTAATCACAACAGAAACATGGATTACCTAAAAGCATGACACTGTAGATGTTTTAATGTGTCAGACCATGTACACTTCTCTATGGCATTAATTCTTTTTCCTTCTGTATATATCCACAAATTCAACTAAGATACAATGTCCAATCACTTACTACAATTAAACAGTTGATTAAGTTAATGGACACTATACAAGATCAGCAATCATTGTTTATTTATACATTTACATGTCATGGTGTGACATGGAATGTGTGAGAACTATTAAATGTTTCTGCATATGTACAATAAAAACTACTGGAATTTGGACACACATCCAACAATTAAAATCACATATCAACAGTTTGTAACAATGGTATAAACCAGTGTTTCTCAAAGCCGGTCCAATGGACCGGTACCGGTCCCCGGAGTACAAATTGCCGGTCTGCAATGTCTCTAGGTTTACCTGAATCTAGTCAGCCCCCGACAAAAAATTTGACTGAACTTAGACTATAGTGCTTAGTCGTAGGTCACTGAAAAGTGTAAAGGCCTCGAATTTGTCGAATTTCATTGTATCATCTCATTGCATTATCTCATTCCAAATAATGTACTCACAATAAATTTT